TAAATATGTGTTGTGTGTGTAATTGAAAAACATACAATGGGAAAAAATTGAACATGTCTACAGGTTTGTGGTTGTTTATGTTGTCATTATGTTGCGGTATTTGTGGCTTGAAATCAATAGTAATAAATTCATTTATATTATTATTTACAAGCTAATGGAGATATATGCGCGTTGTAAACTCAATTAAGTGGAAACAGTGTAGGAGTAGAAGTGGTAAAATTAATGGTCTATGAAATAATTGAGGGAATGGGGGAGTACGGAAATTTTGGTTGTTAAATATATGGCGTTGTTTTGGAGAAGGATATAAAAAAATTGGTTTAAAAATGGATAGCAAAAAATTATCTCTAATTATTTGAAATGAAAAAATATACAAAAATGTATTTAAGAATTCTGTTCAATAATAAAAAATAGCCCAGGAACATATTCCGCATATTTATTTCAAATCAGGGAATAAAACAAAGGTATTAAAAAAAGATTACATTCTGGGATTTAGACATATCCTTAAAAATTCACAACATCAACATATAAAGGATAATATAAGAAAAACTAAAAATTAAAGAGAAAAAATTCGGTGACTTAGAATTCTTTATAAAAATGAACTGCCTATCGGCTTACAAAGAGGAAGATAACTTTATGGATTCGCTAATAGTATTTTTAATTATTTTTCCATCTTCCCCAAAATAATATTTTCTTATTAAAAAATATATATTTTATATATTTAAATAATAAGAACGTGTAATATGTACCCATTACATGACCTGATTTTTACGAAAATTATAATATGATGTAAACCTGTTTGTGCCATATGTTCACTATGTGTACTGCCTAAAAGTATGCAATTTGTTTGTGACAACACGAAATTAGAAATCTCATTAGTGACAAAACAAGTATTTAAATATGTACTCTTTTTTAACATGGTGTTCAACTTAATTTGAGTTTATATTTGTGTCCCCCGAAAAGTAGGTGAATAAGAACAGAGTTGCCACAAGGAGGAGAATTAAGCACCAATAAAAAAAAAGAAATTTTGAGTATTTACTTTAGGATCTAATTTAATTTGGTCATATAATTAATTTCATTTTATTCCTTTTTTTAATTATATAATTCCACTTTGGAACGTTTTAAATAGAAATAAAACTTTGGAAAAATGTTAAATATTTTTAGGAGTAATGAAATGAAATTACTTCCATTGCATATTTTTAGGTGTACTGAAATGACTTCGCCTAAAAGTATGCACTATTTTTTAATGTTCTGCATCACACTATTAATTAAAAAGCAACAAATGAGATTAAAATGAATATTAATCAGCCTAAAAGTATGTTCAATTTTTTAGTTTTCTGTTTCACATTTTTTAATTAATTACATTAAAAAGCAACAACTGATATTAATATCCGAACTCCTAAAAGTATGCATTTAATTCTGGTTTTTGTTTGTTTTGTTTTAACCAATTATTTTAATAACTTTATTTTATTGCTGATTATTCATTTTTTTATTCCAACAAACAATAATCTAATTTTATTTATTATTTATTTGCAAATAAAATAAATGGGGAAAAATATTTTCTTAATTAATTGTAAACATCCTTGAACTTTTTTGCTAACAATATGTTGTTTGTGTTTTATTTTTTTTTGTGTTCTGTTTGTTATTCACAATTAATTATTACTTCATAACGTGCTTATAGGCGAATTAACACAAACAACAGCATTAATTATAACAATCCACCACACACACACACCGCGTACACACAAACAATGAATGCCATGAACGCAGGCACGCACGCAAATTGTCACGTAATCCAGACATAAGACATAAGGTGGCTGACTGAATGGGATGCCTATCAAATCACATTATTACACTGTTACCTCCCATACATATATATGCCATTATTCTACAATCCACAATTTATATAATGCGACATTTGCAATTCTGGAGGCATTCTTGCCACCAAACACACACACACACACACTTAATATGTCTGTGATGTGTGTGGGTGTTTGGCTTGTTTGAAGAACAAACAATCATGTCCATCATTCTAATTAAAATTTACTTTCAAATTTGTGTTGCAAACATTTTGTGGATAAAATGAAATGAGCCATATAGAACCACACACTCTCTCTCCTCTACTTTCAAGTCGCATTCTCTCATCTGCATTAATTATCGATTCAATACAATTTGCCGAACAAACAAACTTCAAAGTTGACACATAAATAATAGATGTTGGTACATTAAGTACTTCTTAATGTCAGGGCAAATAGAAATTAAAAATTTATTATTGAAAAGAAATTGACATGGCAAGGATGTTGTTACTTGTAAAGTAATTTCTCTTTGTATTTCAATTAATAAGGAAAGAGAGGAGGATGTGTAATGTGAGGTATACTATTAGGGTGATTTGAAAATGAGGTATATTTAATATAATTTTTCATTATTTGCATAGTGGTTGCCTTTTTTATTAAAAAATTATTTAAAATATAAATTTAAACTAAAGAAAATAATTGACATGTGTGGCGTATGATGATTGATCACATAAATGTAACTTATACACCACAAAGCCTTAAATAAAAATAATCATACGCCACAGAGCCCATAAGAAATTAACATTTTCTTCTAATTTTAAATAAAAATAATTTTTTAAATAAAAATAGAAAAATTGTACGAAACTTTGACCTGCTACACAAAAATAATTCTGTTATTCTAGATGGCAATTTCCCTTTGAATTTCAGTTAATAAGGAAAGAGAGAAGGATATGTGACATGGGGCATACTTTTAAGGTGATTTGAAAATTTATTAAATGAAACCTATTTAATAAACATTTTCATTAATTGTATCTTAGCTATCGTTTTTATTTAAAATATAAATTGAAACTAAATGAAATGAAATAATTGACCTAGGTGGCGTATGATGATTGCCCATGTAAATGTAACTTATACGCCACGAAGTCTTTAATAAAAACAATCATACTCTGTGGCGTATGATTGTTTTTATTAATAATAATAAATTATTTTTTTTTCTTCTAATTTTAAATAAAGAATAAAAAAAATAATATATATAGTATTTAATAATTTTTTATTCGAAAAATCAAAATCAGATTCAAGATCAAGAAAATCAATCATATATAAAAAATTAAAGAAAATCTTGAAAAAAATGTTATAACTGTTATAATTTCTCATAATAAAATTAAAATTCAAATACATTATGTTTAACGCACTTAACACTTAAATGACATTTCAACCATTAATAATGCACACAACAGCCTTTTCTTAACATATCCTGTATTTCTACTCTAGCGAATCTAAAAATATTCACCTACACACATCCATATGCTTGACATTATACTTTTAGTAGAGAAATTTTCCCCAACAATTATATGCTTTAATATAATTCAAGTGCACATTTCTAACTTCCTGTCACAAAAATTATTTTATAATAATAAGAAAAAAAGAAAAACCACGCTTCACAAAATGTTATATAATTATGTGAATGCTTCGCAGTTTGAAGGATATGCAATTGTGCTAAGCCACATGAAAAACCCACTCGCTCTCTCCCACTCTTTTTTGGTTCACAATAAAATAAATAAAAAATAGTGGAAACATATAAGCTTCGGGCAAAATTTTGTTTGAGATGAGTTTGAAAAAATGAAGGAAAATGCATGCTGCACATGTGAAATGCATTCATTGCACTTGAAAAGCAGGCTTATTAGCCAGCAGAAGTACAAGCGTTTGGCATTTTGGGGGTTTTATTTGAAAGTCATATGAGAAAATTTATTTGGATTAAGGAAAGTATCCATACAAATGCTAGAGACCAATGAAGTCTGGATGATACAGACATTACCAAAATAATAGATGTGAAAACCGTATTATTTTAATAAATGGCCCTGGTGGCGTATGACTATTGATATCACTTATACGCTTTGAATAAATATATATTTGAAAGTACTACGAGCAGTTTTTCAAGGATTAAGGAAAATATTCAGACAAATGTGGGTCCTTAATCATTCAAATCTCATTTCTACGAATTTTCTATACAAAGTAATAATTTTTTGTCATAAATAAGTTCCACTGTAAGCACTATACATATGTTTTTGAGTTTAAAAAAAGGATTAATAATTGCCTGTGAAAAAAATTAAAATTCAACCACAAACAACAATTGCCATTGAGAATAATTTAAATAGAACAAATCTAACCGCTTTATGTTAAATCATATCCCATGTAATTTATGAATGTGCTAATTTGTTGAAATTTATTTTCGTATACCCGTATGTTAAAATTTTCTCCGGGGAAAATATTTTGAAATAAAAACAATTACGAAAAAAAATCTATTAAAAACAATTATATTAATTGAAATAAACGACCAGGGTGGCGTATGACGATTGACCATGTAAATATAACTTATACACCATGGGGACATAATTAAAAACAATTATACGACAACGGGGAATGAAATTTTACTCCAAATTGCCCTTGAGAAAAATTTCAATAGAACAATTCTTACCACTTTATATTAAATCTTGTCCCATGCAATTTATTAATATGCTAATTTGTTTAAATTTATTTTATTATATATTAGAATTTTCTCATGGGGAAAATTTTGAAATAAAATCAATTACGAGAATGGAAATTCTATTTAAAAACAACAACAATAACATTAATTGAAATACATGTCCTGGGTGACGTATGATGATTGATCATGTAAATATAACTTATACGCCATGAAGACATAATTAAAGATAATCATACGCCAAAGGGGAATAAAAATTTACTCTCAATTGGAAATATTGAATGCCTTATAAAATAATCATACGCCAAAGGGGAATTAAAAAATAAAGTGTGCTTCCCTTCGAATATTTTTTCTTAAATATATTTTTTTTATATTTCTTAAATATTTTTTGATATATTTTTATTTTTTATATTTCTTGAATATTTTTTTAATATTTTTACCTATATCTTGTTTTTTTATATTCCTAGTTTAAATGTTAATAGAATATATATTTTTTTGGTTTTACTTACCATAACGTGCCTCCTCTCCTTCGGGTGCATGCTTGGTTATAGTATTCAGTTCCTCTTCCAAATCGACATGACAATCAGCTACGTCCCATGAGAGGAAACCTGTAAATTAATACAAACAAATAGAAAAAATAGTTTATTAACAAATAATTCTATAAAAAAAATTGTTTATGAATTATAAAATAAAATTAATCATACGCAACCTACATCTCCATTAAAAAAATACACACAAATTTGTTTTTCTGAATTTCTATTAAAATTATTCATACGCCACCTAATTATTAATAAATAGTTCTCTAACAAATTTATTTACTTATAATGATAAAATAAAAGTAATCATACGCAACCTTGGCACTTTATTAATATCAATTATACGCAACCTATATCTCCATAAAAAATAATCATACGCAACACAGAATTTTTTCTTCACAATTTTAATTAAAACTATTCATACGCCACCTAGGCAATAAATGAATATTATTTATACGTAACCCCATAAACCAATATATTAAAAATAATCATACGCAACCTGCTTTTAAATATGTTGAAGTGTTAATTTAAAAAAATATTTAAAGTTTTTCTATTAAATTTTTAAAAAAGTCATTTGAGTTCCCATTGACATTTTTGTACCCTAAAAGTATAATTGCCCTAACTGCTAATGAAACTATTATGGGTTATTTTTTGTCATTACTATTTTTGGTAATTTACCTTTCATTTGTAGCTAGCAAAATATGTTTCAGTATTATGATAGAGAATTCTAATTTTCATACTCAAAACTTCATCTGGGTTTTGTAATAATAATTATCCACATTCAACCCCTTCCAAAAGGATTATCCTTTTTACTATCATAATGTGATGGCATCAACATGAGATAATGAGAAAGAAAAATAACAACAGATGAAGGATCTCTTCATTTGGCTTTCAGATGAAGAAAAAAAAAAATAAAAACTAAAATGAAATACCATTTCATTCTTTGTTATCCAATTCTTTAATCTTTTAACTAAACATTACATGTGTGTGCCAGAAGATGCCTAAGAGAGGGAAGGGAGGTGGGGGATATATATAGCATAACCTCAAATTGTTGGCCTGGAAATTTTTGAAAAAAGAAACAGAACAAATGTTGGAATTACATATGTAGACAATAAGTGAACTGTTATATGAATGTTTTTTGTGGTTTTAGAATACTTCTAACTGGTAGTTTTTTTCTCTCTATATGTTTGTTATGTGTTTTGTGAGTGTGTGTGAAATGTGTTTTAGTGTGTGTTTCCTAGAAATAAACAATTTAATCCCCTTAATAGCTTAAACAGCTTTTGTTTTGGTTACAACCAGGCGAAGTGTTGTTGACTTTATTTGTAGTTGTTATTGACTTTATTTTGTGCATAAGACTGGGCGTATTTTTTAATATTTTTTAAAGAACTTGGAGTATTTTTTATTTAGGAAAAATGGAATCAAGTAGAAGTCTTCGATTTGAGGGATTGGTCTAGTATATCCATGGGTAATATATAGGGGATATTGTTGTTAATTTTCTAGATATGGAGTAGGATTTGCAATTTCGACACCATAGAGTTGCCACCTTATGGTATTTGAAGTTTATAAAATTTTCTCTTACATTTTTGTTTTTTGTAAATCTGTAAACCATCCGAATTTTTTTTTCTAATTTTATTCATTTACTAACTACATTTATTTAATCCCTTTTATTAAATTTCTCGCTTTTAAATTCCCCTCAAGGAAACCATTACAAAAATTAATAATAATTCTAAGCCCCCTCCACTCAAGTGCAATTTATATTCCCCCTTCTTGATTTCCACTACTCAGCATCTTAATAAATAACTTAACTTAATGCCCTCATGTACAGTTTGAAATTAACTTTTTTATGCTTTCATTAAGTTATTTTCTGCTCATTAAATCTTGAACATTATTATCATTATTAAAATGCATTATGATGAATAATATATGCCATCACCCAGGTAGTGGGCGTATGAGTAACATTTCTCATAAATTACTCATACGCCACCCCTCTCACATTTTCTCATATTTTTTTAATGAGTTTACAAAAGGAAATGATTTTCTGTTTTACAAAGTTATGACATTGTTTTTAATAATCACAATTTTTATGGTATTTTAAGTGTCTCCTTACCTCAGCCAGGGCCAAGGTGGGTAGTCTGGCAGAGGATTATTAAAATTTCTTTATTTCTTCTTGCAACTACCTTTTGTTTGTGACTTTTCTTTTTGTGTCTGCCTGCCTATCTGTCTGTCTGTCTTTCTCTGTTTGGTGAAGTAAAACATTATAATAACCATAATTTCAACAAGCATAAAATACAATACAAAAGAACCCTTAACGAGCAACCTGGCTGGTTGTCATTAAGACCAAAACGAAAAAAATTATTAAAACAGTTGTTTTCCTTAACTTTAAAACATGTTTGCAGCCCAACTCTAATTGAAAAAAATCCCCTCCTTTAGGAAAACAACAAAAACTGTTTGCCATCTAATATGAACGTGTGTATTTGGGGGAATGCCACTCTTGAGAAGATGACAAGGAAAAATTCCAACACATAAGCCTTGTTCCTTGGGGCTGTTTTTATCCTTTTCCAAAAGGCCTTTTGGTCTTTTGGGAGCAAACACCCACACACACACACGAGACACATTCCATTAAATGTGTTAATGAAAAAGTTATGAACTCTTCTTATTATGTTTGTTTGTGTTAGGTTTCTTTTGAATCTTCTTCACCCACACACCTGCCTTCACATTGCCGTATCGAAATAATGATGAAGACGAACATCGAAAAAAAAAGGTAAAAACTCATATAATGTTATAAAATACGTGTAGATTGCATAAATTATTAAACATGGCTTAAACAAATAGCACGTGCACTTCAATGACTGAAGGGGAAAAACAAAGGTTGAGCAAAAGAAAATATAATTGAAATGGCAAATGACTTAAGTTTGTTAAATTAAAATATATAAATTAATAAAAAATTCCATTTTAATTTCATTATTAAATTAAATGGAATTTTGAGAGATTCGGGAATATTTCATATAATAATCATACGCCCCATATCATGTCTAGTAATTAATATAAGTCATACGCCCAATAGTCCATTACAAATTAATAACAGTCATACGCCACCTATGGCCAAGAGGCCATTGGAGGAAAATAAAATAATATTATTACGTCACATAATAATCATACGCCCCATATTATGGCTGGAAATAATATAAACCATACGTCCAATATTCCTCTAGCAAATAATGAGATTCATACGCCCCCTATGGCAAATAGGAAATACTACCTCTATACTACTTTAAGACTTCCTCTATAATAAAATAGCTATAAATAATATATTTTTAAAAGAAAATAATTTTTGAAAGTAAAAAAAAAGAATTTTAACTTCCAAGTTGTGCTATGACAAATAAAGGGATTTTTTTCCTATGGTTGGTATGAATGATTAATATTAATCATACGCACTGGTATAATAAATTATTATTAATCGTACGCAAACTCCTTATTTTTTATATTTTACTATTTTTATTTATTTTTGATATATCTTCATTTGCCTTTTATCTACCTTGCAAACGAAGGAGTTATTATATTTTAGTTACAACTACAAGTGGCACAGAGCACACACACACAAATAAATTGCATATATAACCAGGGTTTTGAGTTGGTTAGTTATATATTTATATCATTTTATACCATACCAATGTATTCCGTATATCGCATGTGTATGTGACTGGATATATAAAATGTATCATTTAATATAGAAGTTAAGGGATTAAAGGTGCTGATATCAACCACCCAGCCATACCATTCTATTGGTATGGTGGGAAAATGGCAAATGGATATATGAGAACGTACGTGCCCAGATTAAAGTTACAGACAATTGCAATTCCATCCATTCCATTTTAGCTTTGGTTGGTATTTGTTGCCACAACTAAAGCTACACATGGTTTCTTGGTGTCTTCTTCCCCTACTCCTCACACGGAGACAAGACAACGGGAAAATTGAACGAATGAACAAGTGAATGCTTGTAAGAAAGGTGCTTCACCTGAATTACCACACTCACAACAGTGTCTTTCAGTGAGTGACTGTCTTACATAGAAATGGCCACTTGGGAATTTGAAATTGATAGCAGTGTTGTTAAGAAGAAGAAGAAGATGCTGTGGAACGACACTAATATAAATACTAAATTCCAAATTGCTTTTGGCTTAACTTACAGCTTGATAAATTCGAGACAGAATAAGTGATGACAAGTCAATAAATTTCACCACAAGCCAGACGGGGTTGTGAATTAAATGAATACAAGATAATTCTGGAGAAGATAGCAGGTAATGTCTTGAGGTAAGATAATAAAATAAATTAAGTTTGAAGGTTTATTGATTTTTATTTTTTATATTTGAATTCAAAAGAAATAAATTTAAATAATATTTAAGGAAATTAATAATAACTAAAAATAATCATACGCCCCTTGAATGGCTGGAAAGAATATATAAATCATACGCCCCGCAACCCATTAGGAATTAATAAAAATCATGCGCACCCTATGGCGAATAGAATATTGCCGAAAGACTTATGTATGGCGGGAATAATATAAATCATACGACCCAGAAGCCAATTTTAATTAATCCAAATTATTTTAAAGAATACATAATTGAAATAATACGCCCTAGCATCCAATATCATATAATAAAACTTATATGTACCCTATTCCGAATTGAAATTTGTATATTTTAATGACTCGCGGTTAATAATATAGGAATTAATAAAAATTACGCCCCCTAGAAAATAACAGATTTTTGGACTATCGTATGGCTGGAAATATTATAAATCATACGCCCTAGTGTACAATGTCAATTAATAAAAATAATACGCACCCTTTCCTGATAGAAAATTTCAAATTTACTCACTGTCTGGAAATAATAGAAATCCTACGCACCACTATCCATTTTTAATTAATACAAAGAAGAAATAATGGAAATTATACGTCCTAGTGTCCAATATCAAATAATGAAAATGATACGCACCCTACTCCGAATTGAAAATTGCAGATTTTTAATGATTATCGGGAAATAATAAAAATTGCAGAATCTTACGCCCTAGTATCC